TACCCATGGTGCTTTGCCATGATATTACCCATGGTGCTTTGCCATGATATTACCCATGGTGCTTTGCCATGATATTACCCATGGTGCTTTGCCATTCCATCACTCATGGATAACAATTTAACATACACGTAAAGTAGCAGGTCGTTTTGCAAATGCGTTGACCAATGCGCATGCGCAAAAGGGGAGGGATTTAGTTACGTCTAAGATTTCCTAAAATAAATCTAATAAAAATGAGTTTTTATTTTCTCTTCCATAAAGTAAAACATAATAAAAATCTCTTAGAAAATTTAATCCTTTCAATGGCTATCGTGCCTGGTAAACAAGGAATGCAGGTAATAGGTAAGGTTCTTATAGTCGAGATGAAATACCATATTATTGAACCACAAATACTACCACAAGATCGATCTGTTAAATGTAATGCATGGCTTGAAGCTACTGTCGATTGGATTTGACCTCGATGGCTTATCTTATATCTCTATCAGACATTGATTTGTCTTACCACACGTCAGTAATGACGTCCTTTAGATGGCAAACAGATAGGTATTGAGAAACAGATGTCGTGGTTAGACCACAGAATGCATTACTAGCTTAAATAACAAACCTTAATAAATATGGTCATCTAGAGGTTATTATATATCTAGCTCGATTTTAACGCCTCATCATGCCTTAAACTTGCTCTATTCGCCGGTATCCTTCGAGTAGAATTCGTTCAGTCTTTGTTGCCTTATTTCTCCTAAGATTTATTCCTACTTCTGGGTAAGGTGCATTCTGGTCTAGCTTGGGTAACATTACCAATATAAATTTGGTATAATATGATCATATCATTTAGACAGGCTGTCATCTGTGGTCGGGAACAAATATCAAGAAAAGAATAAAAACGTCACCTTACGAAAAAGAAAGAAAACCACTTCTCATTTACAGGATGAAGATGGCTTCTGTGGTAAACCGGGCTAGATCAGTATAAGGTTGCAATTATCCCATCCATCCATCCATCCATCCACCCATCCATCCATCCATCCATCCATCCGTCCGTCCGTCCGTCC